GCAGTCATCATTGTTGTTTGGCGGGTCCGGGCTGGGGATTCGAACCCGCCACCTTAGGTGTACGTGGCTGGCACCTTAGCCGCTTGAGCCACAGGTGCCGAGCCTGGAAATATTCTTTATCTTGATCTGGTGATTATACAGGTATATACATACTTAGTAGCTCCTTGACCTATATACACTTAAGATTTGTGAATCTAAGAAAATCTATTAAGGTGAAACTCACAAGTAAACATTTTCCCACACAATCTGTCTTTAACATGACACTCACCTGAATGCAGGGCATGCTTCTAGATCTATTCAGTTCCCTGTACATTTTGTCCACTTCATTTATAGTCTTGTCGTTTCCCATGGGTGAGAACACACAGACTACGACGATCTGATCCACAGAGGCCAGCTGTCTGCTTATAAGGTGATCATACTCCAGGTCTGTCACTTCAGGGATGTTGTGAGAGCTACATCGGCATATGTCCCCTTCCTGCCCGCACAACATTCTCCTTAGGACCACAGGGCAGAACAGGGGGGAAGCAAACCTTGTATCCTTGCTTTCAATGGGAAGGGGAACCCTAGAAAAGTAATGGTTGGAAATCATGTCAAAGAACTGAAAGGACAGAAAGAACAGCCCTGAATTACATGTGGCTGCTTTGGTAAAGCACTGGCATTTAATTCTAGACAGAATTTTATTTGCCAAAATACAAGAATACTTGTCAATACACAAAAAGAGTTAAAAGTAAGCCTTTTCAGCTATACAGGCACATATGGCTCTGAAACAAACCTAATCCAAATGATTGCAAATAATTAATGAGTAAGAATGATATTTGAGTGTTAATTGCAGTTTAACATATGCAAGAGGAATGAACACAAGGGTGGGCTATAAGACACTTACTTTTATTCTCTTAGAAATGACCAAAAACATACAAGTAGCAAATAACAGAGCTACGATCTGAATCCATGTGGGTTTTTTCTATTACAATACTGTTATCTTGCTGACTCCTGAGGATGAAATATCTGTAACATACTTCAGAGTCAGTTTATTATGTCTATTAATAGACTGGATAAGCCACGCAACCCAATATTCAGAACAAAAATCAGACAGCTAAGTTTGGGTCCATCATCTGTCATTTACTCTCACTGGGACTGACTTCTGACTCTTTTGTGCCTCAGTACTAACAGCTGTTATGTAGGGGGTAAACTCATGTTTCCATAAATCTTCCAGGGAGATAATGAAGCTTATAAAATCAAATTCATGAATTTTAATTAGCTTAAAGAATTTTTATGAGATGCTAAAATTTGTTTAAAAATATAATATTTTAATCAAGTTATTTAAAACTGGCATTCCTGGGTAGCTAGAAGAGTACATTTTATCATCATTAAAATATTCACTATTGGCTTCGGTTTCTTTACCCTGATTCTGAGGGTTGTGGACTCAATGCCTGTGTCCCCCCCAAATCTGTATGTTATTGCCCTAATCCTCAAGATTATTTGCGGATGGGGCATCTATGGAGGTAACTGAGGTTAAATGATGTCATAAGGGTGGGGCCTTGATCTGATAGGACGAGTGCCCTTCTAAGAAGAGGACACCAGAGAGCTGGCTTTTGCTGTCTCTGCCATACGAGGACATAGCAGGAAGGTGGCCATCTGTAAGTGAGGAACAGAGCCTTCACCAGGAACCAACTCCTCAGACTTTGTTCATGGACTTCTAGAACTGTGAGAAGATTAATTTCTGTTGTTTAAGTCATCAAAGTCTGTGGTAATTTGTCAAAGCCGCTCAAGCAGATTAATACACTAAGAAACTTAATGTGATAAATGACCAATTATGTTTGTTGAAGTCATGCTTTTTGAAATGTCTTGATGCCTCCCCTCAGTAGAAACACATTTTCTTTGAAAGGATGATTATATTCAAAACTTACATATCATAAGAGAACCAATGCATGTAAATACAGCACATTATTTCAGCACTTGCCTTAGTGCCCCACCAAATGTTTTCAATGTCTTTTTTTTTTTTTAACAAAACATCACTTTTATTGACAGTTTAGGGGCATGATGGACAGTTACACAGAACAGAAATGAAACAGAGGTAAAATTGTAGCAGATGGGGTAATACTTTTTCCCCTTATCTTCTCCCTCAGCACAATCTGTTCCCACCTTCTCACAATCCTTCTCAAGGGCAGCCATGTCCTCAGTGGCCTCAGAATACTCTCCTCCATCCTCTTACCACATACCATTGAACAAAGGCACACTTGGCATACGTCAGGTCAAACTTGTGGTCTAGGCGAGCCCAGACCCCACAGTGGCTGTGCTGTTGCTCAGCATGCACACAGCTCTCTATAGCTTGGCCAAGTCTCCACCAGGTACCACAGTCGGAGGCTGGTAATTGATGCCAACCTTGAAGCTCGTTGGACACCACACTGTGAAATGCATGGTACGGTTGATCTTGATGGTGGCAATGGCAGCACTGTCATATTTGGAGCCACATCACCATGGCACAACAGGCAGTACACCATGTAGCGAGGGTCATATTTCACCATCTGGTTGGCTGGCTCAAAGCAAGCACTGGTGATCTCTGCTACAGTACGCTGTTCATGGTAGGCTTTCTCAGCAGAGATCACAGGGGCATACATGTGGCCAGAGGGAAGTGCATGAGGGCATAGGGTACCAGGTTGATTTGGAATTCTGTCAGGTCAACATTCAGGGCTTCATCAAATCTAAGCGAAGCAATGATGGAGAACACAGTCTGGCCAATTCATTTTAGCATAGGTTGGGCACTTAATATAAAGGTTTCTCCAATAGATGTCATAGATGGCCTCATTGTCTACCATGAAGGCACAATCATAGTGCTCCAGAGTGGTGTGGGTGGTGAGGATGGAGTTGTAGGGCTCAATTACAGCTGTGGAAACCTGGGGGACTGGGTAAATGAAGACTTCCAGCTTGGACTTCTTGCTATAATCAACAGAGAGGTGTTTCATCAGCCGAGAGGTGAACCCAGAATTAGTTCCCCTACTAAAGCTGTGGAAAACCAAGAAGCCCTGAAGACCTGTGCACTAGTCAGATAGCTTGTGAATTTGGTCCAAGATGAGGTTAATGATCTCTTTGCCAGTGGTATAGGGCCCACAGGCATAGTTACTGGCAGCATTTTCCTTGCCTATGATGAGCGGCTCAGGGTGGAAGAGCTGGTGGTAGGTACCAATGTGAACTTTGTCAATGGACCATGGGTTCCAGGTCTATAAAAACTGCCCTGTGCACATACTTGATGGTGCCCATCTCACTGCAGGTGTTGAAGGACTTATCTCCTCCCCTAGTGGTCTGGTCACTTGGCATCTGGCCATTGAGCTGGATGCCGTGTTCCAGGCAGTAGAGCTCTCAGCAGACATTGCCAATCTGGATGGAGATGCACTCACACATGACGGGGACTTGTAGGGCTCTGTGGCACTGAAGGACGTGAAGGTGCAGCAACAAGGGTCTCCTACTACCAAGGAGTCTGGGGAAGAACTTGTCTGTTTTCAATGTCTTCTTCCCTCTTATAGCAAAGTGTTTATTAGTGTATTTAGATACAGGCTAACTTAGAAATGGATCTTCTGGCTTGGTGCCTGTGGCTCAAGTGGCTAAGGCGCCAGCCACATACACCTAAGGTGGTGGGTTTGAATCCAACCCGGCCCCGCCCAACAACAATGATGGCTGCAACCAAAAAATAGCCAGGCATTGTGGCGGGCACCTGTGGTCCCAGCTACTTGGGAGGCAGAGGCAAGAGACTCGCTTGAGCCCAGGAGTTGGAGGTTGCTGTGAGCTGTGATGCCACAGCACTCTACCCAGGGGGATAGCTTGAGGCTCTGTCTCAAAAAAAAAAAAAAAAGAAATGGATCTTCTTTTATGGAAAAAAGGCAATTATCAGTAGAATATTATTTCTCTGAAATGTCCAGAATTGGATCAGTTCTGCATTAATTATAGTAAAAGTTTATGTGTGTTGGTATGTGCATGTAGTAGAACAGTTCACATATTCATAAAACTGTGAGTACAACACAGTTATATTCAAGAGTATAACAAATACCCTTGTACACACTACCCAGTTTTATCAAATCTTAATCTTTCACTCTATTTGCCATATATATATATACATTTGCTGTGTACACACACACACACACACACACACACACACACGCACGCATATATATATACAGGGTGGCCATAAAGTTCATGTGAAAAACAAACAAACAAACAATGGGCGGTGCCTGTGGCTCAAAGGAGTAGGGCGCTGGCCCCATGTACTGGAGGTGGCAGGTTCATGCATGAACTTTATGGATACCTTGTATATTTATCGTTACAGTTTCAGCTACAACTGAAGGCCCCCAGGACCCCTACCTGATTTCACTCAATTTTTTACCCTGATTTTGGTGCACGTCATTCTCATACTTGTAATATAAATATATAATAATCCATAATCTGACAGGATTAGGATTTTATTTGCAAGCAACAGAAACAAATTAGTTAATTTAAGCAAACAAACAAAGAAAAAAGGAGTTTATTAGTGAACATGGGAAATCTTTGCAAGAGTGGAAGACTGAGACTTGCAGCCTCTACTGCTAGCGAAACGTCCCTAATCATGCTATGGAATGCGTCTGATAGCAACACCACAGCCCTGGCTGCTGGGACCCTACGGCTCACACTTTTAACCCTACTGACCCAAGACACTGCGGTGGGAACCACGGGCACTGCAGCCATGTGGAGCTACTGCCTTTCCTTCCAGGGGAGTCTGGGCAGGCCCTGAAGCTGTGTGAAAAGCTGGGGCAGATGCATCTGATTGGTGGGGCCTACCTAGGTCACATGCTTGGGCCCTACCTTCAGAAGAGACTGGGAAACCAAGAATCTGGCATTATCAGCTTCTGTTGTGGGTGTGGACCCTGCCTCAGCAGGTAAGGGAGTCCTCCCACAGGGGAGGAAGGTACAGGTGCTGCATGGTCAAAGCAGATGGCAGTTGTCCACAACAAACAATTTATACATTCTCTTCTATGATGTATATTGATGCATTCAATTTTTTACCATTGCAAATGGCTGAAATGAAATTTTTGTACATTTCCTAGAGTACAGAGTTTCTCTGTATTATAACATATTTATATCTTCAACTTTACAAAGTATTGCCATATTGTTCAGCAAAGAATCTATGTGCCGATCATATGTTTTGCTAATTTTTTCCCCTGTCTATTGGCTTGTCTTTTCTTTCTGTTTATGGTGTGCTTTTTTCATATGAAAGATTTTCATTTTAAGGTAAACTAATCAACTTTTTCTCTTATGATTGCATGTTTTTTTTGTGTATGTTTGGTTTAAGAATTTATTTTCTACCTTGATATGATAAAAAATATTCTCATGTTTGTTTGAAATGTTTTATTATTAGGCTTTTCATGTTTAGCTTTTTATCTGGAGTTTATATGGGAAGTAGAAATATAAAATAGATAGACAGACAGACAGATAATCAGTTGTCCTAGCACCACTTATTGAAGAATCCATTCTTCTTCACTGGTTTCTTTCTTTTCTTTCTTTTTTTTTTTTTTTTTATTGAGATAGAGTTTCACTT